CAGAGACAGATGGGTGTCGAAGGCAAACGCGTAAGCGCCTGCGCATGTGGGTCGTTAGCCTTAACGCCGCGGGCGAATGTGGATTGGCGGGCATTCCACCGGATAGTCGCGTGGAATAGACTCGCACGTCGGCGTATAGCGATCAAAACCGGAGAAGGCAGTAGTGTGGGGGCGGCATGTGGATGGACTGGCGCTGGGGAGGCTACGGCTCTCTTGCGCCAGCGGCCATTGCCGTTCATGGGATAGCCGTATGCAGAATAGCCATCTCAGACAGAACTCCCATTGAGGCCCAACAGGTCCATGTTGTCATTCATGCCATACGAGGATAGAAGTTGCTCTGGGTACGCAATGTGGCGAGCTGGTGGCGATGGGCAAGCGACGGGACTGCTCTCGTTGAGCGGCGGTTTTCGGCAGACCGCGCCGAAGTCCCCGAGCGCCACAAGATACTTCCTGCACGACTTCGAGCCTCCCCGCCATCATACTCGCACACAACCGTTCTATGCAGTGTGTACGGAAGCGCGTTCCTATCATAGGCAGTCGTGTATGGACATTGTATCGTTCAGAATCGGAAGCAAACAGTGGCAGGCCATGGTGTGTAATCTACAGGTCCGGCGTGTCTGCAAGGACAAACTCCATGCTGCCTTGACCGTACCGGTCACCTTGCACCGTCTTCTCTGCTCGTTCTGCAATGTCATGCAGGGCCTTCACCTCTTCCGGCTTCAGCTGCAATTTGGCTGCAGCCACGTTCTCATGCAAATACTGTAGTCACGTCAGCGACGGTATTCGGACATGTATGCGCGTGAAGGTAGCTCGCCTTGACACTACGTGTACCGGGAATGGGGATAATGTTGTCGCTTTGAGCAAGCAACCATGCAAGCGTCGTAGTACTCGGGGGAGCGCCGTGCGCGTCGCCGACTGCCTTGATCTCGTCGACGACCTTGAGGATGTTCGGGAAGTTTTCGCGGCTGTACTTGGGCACTGTGCGCCGGAAGTCGCCTTCCTCGAAGTCGTCGGGACTCTTGTAACGACCCGTGAGCAGGCCGCGACCGAGGGGGGAGTACGCAACGACCGCGACGCCGAGCTCGCGACACGCAGAGAGCAGTCCGACGTCAGAGCGCTCAATGTCGAGGACGAAGGGAGAGTATTCGATCTGTAGCGCCGCGATGGGATGCACGGCATGTGCGCGCCGGAGGGTCTTCTCCGATACCTCCGACAGACCGATGTACTTGATCTTTCCCTCCTTGACCAGCTCGGCCATTGCACCAACCGTCTTCTCAATCGGTACGGTCTGGTCGGCGCTGTGTCGCACGTTGTTTAGCACAGGCCTACTAAGCGGGAAAGACGGATGGCGTACCGGTGCAGGTAGTACAAATCAATCTGGTCGACGCCGAGACGCTTCAGACTCTTCTCACATGCTGCCTTGACATACTCCGGGTCTCCGGTGACGGTTTTGGCCTGTCCTCGAGTGATACCGAACTTCGTGGCGAGGAAGATCTCGTTGCGTTTGCCAGTCCGCTTGAACCTACCCGCGTACTAGATCAGCCATGCCGGCCACATCCAGCATAAACGATGATTCGCACCACTTGCCAATGAGCTCTTCAGAGTCGCCATACACGTCTGCAGTATCCCAGTTGGTACAGCCCGATTCATATACCGCGTCGAGCAGCTGCGGCGAGTGAGTGATGACGTCAGTGCGCATTCAGATTCCTGAAGCACTGACCTTCAAGCGCTCATCATCGCTCTGCACTTGCCCGTAAAACGCTGCGATGCCCATTGCACCGTAGCCGATAGACGAAACGTCCGTATTGCCAATCTTGCGCGTGGGAAGGGACATTGTAGAGGTGGTTGGTCCGATGACGGCGAGGAAGAGGGTAGGAATCAGGATGATGATAGCGGCCGTGCTATATGTGATACAGGCAAGAGCGCTAGAACTTGATAGATGGCGTGGATGGCGAAGGATCATCCATCTGAGAAGAGTGCTTGTATGTGGGTTCGAAGTCATCTGCTCGCGATGCACGAGTGGATGTGGGCTCGTCCTGGTCGTAGTACCTCCATCTGTCCGGCGAGACTTCACGCGGGCCAGTATACAGAGGTCGAGCATGGTGGGCCTCTGCTTCGCCGGGCGCATCAGCGGTCACACACGGGTGAGAGGCGCGCTCAGTTCAAAATCGGCGCTCAGTCGTTTCCCATGGTGTGCTACGCCTTGATGTCCTCTTGTTGCCCTCGTCTCTGCCAGATAGCGGGGTCATGGATGGTTCCATCTTGAAGATGGGCGCCTGAGCACCATTTCTGAGAGAGAAATCAATTTGATAAGGTAGAAACTCGGCGAGAGATGGTGGTTTCGAGCAGAGAGCGCCGTCCGCGCGTGAGCTGCGAAGTAACAACGGTCCGACATCCGAAGTGCGTGGTGCACGAGTGCACGAGCTGCCCTGCGACGACCATCCTTGCTGTACGCGTCTGCTCATCAACATGAAAGCCAACAACGTGCAAGTCGTAGAGTGTATCTCGCGCAATGCTCACTCCGTCGCCTTTCTCAATGTCGACGAGCTCTCCCTTCATTCGGCAGCCTTATTCGATGCCTTTGGATTCAATACATGATCCTCACCGCTACAAGGAGAGCTACCATGGCAGCACTGGTGCGGCATACATCGTGCATCTTCTCCTTATATATCTGAAGCAAATGCGTAGTTGCAGTCTTCACACGCGTCAGGCACCTACCGGCCCAGGACTGGATGCACTCTGAGACGTGGTCTGCGCGTTGCGCACGCGCATCTTCCGGGCTTCCCCTTGTCCGCTCAGGATTACGCGCCATCTGCGTCACCGCCGACACGACAACGTCGCCTGTTCTAGTACAGTGAAGCGGCTCAAGACTAGACCAACATGCAGTCTCGCATAGGTTCTGGAGCGTCACTCGACCATAGACTGCTATGGCATGCGAGCAGCGTCGACGGACTCTCTGGAGAGGAGATACGTGCTCAAGGGGAGCGAGAAGTGGTGCAGGAGGATACTGGCGATCCCGATGTCGAGTCCAACACTGCAGGCCCTTGGCGTGCAGGAGTGTTAACCTTACAAATCGCGGCCTCTCCACCTCGAATCTGTCACCGCGTTCAAGGTCGAATACTCGTGGAAGACACTGGCTGCTCTATTGTCAGATTCACCGATTCACCACGATGGCTGAATTCCTGACGGCTTTCAAGGGCGCTTTGGGCGGTGAGTGATATCTCATAGACACTTTGCAGGTTGTAAGTAGAATGAACTGACGACGGAAATAGGTGCTCTGGATATGTACCATGCGAAAGTGCTTCATCGCGACATCAATGTGAACAACGTGCTCATCTCCGCGTCACCGAATCCAAACAATGTTGGCGTACTCATCGATCTGGATTACCCCGTCTCCTTGGAGAACTATACTTCGTTAGTCGAGGATATGCGAACCGTGCGTGCTGTGAAGGTCTACTAACTTATATAAGAACATTGCTCATGGCTTGTCTACCAGGGTACCCCGATGTTCGTGTCTTGTGAGATCCTCACACAGCGCATGCTTGTTATCCGGAATAAGCCTAACTTTCCCGCGACATCGGATGACTACAGGAGAAAGAAAAAGCTCGCCTATGGCGATGACTGGGACGATGCCGAGGATGACTTCAGCGACTCGGAAGAAAAAGGACGAGGGGAGAATGACAGCGAGATGCAGACGTCGGATGGAGAGCCACAATCGGACAAAACACCTTCGTTCCGTCATACCCTCGCACACGATCTTGAATCGTTCTTCTGGGTGCTGCTCTGGGTGGTGCGTGAACTTCTCACTAGACGGAAATAGAAGCTAATCCAAGATCATAGTGCATGTGTCGGGTCGGGCCTGCTAAAGCCCGTGACTTCAGCGGCAAAGCTGGCAAGGCGGACTTCAGACGTGCGGACAAAAAGGACGACAAGAAATGGAGATGGGAGCATGACCTTCGGAGGATCAACGGCCTCGTAGCCCGCACCTTTGAAGATCCCAACTGGACAAACCTCGGCAGAACCAGGAAAGCCGTCTTCCTGAACCAGTCCGGCGAATGGGACGACCTGCTTGACAGCGTGTCTCACTACCTCACGCCGCTAAAGGACATCTTGGTTGCCTACCACAAAGGTCTATGCGATCTGCTCCGGAGGGAACCTGAACAGCGCAATGACGATGATGTGGAGGTCTTCGGACGCTGGCTTATGAGCTCTATCGAAGACTCGATCCAAACTGGACGTGTCCAACGATGGGGACAACCCGGGAAACCTGGTGGCAGCGAGCGCCATGTGAGGCCCGCCAGGCTGAACTCGAGCGGCGCCAGAAGGAGGGTCAGGCCTCCGTCGGAGTGTTTGGCTAGCTCTCCCACGTCCAAGTCGTTATCCGTGCCCAATGTTCTTACGTTTATACTCGGGACATTGTTTGGATGACATGATGTATACTGATATAAGCTCAAGGAACTCGCTCCCAGCCTTGTAAGTAAGGAGTTGTCGCGCCTTCCCCGCGACGGGTCTTTACTGCTGTGGCACCGGCAATCAGCGGCGCCCATCAGACGCGTCCACATGTGTAAATTACGCGCGAAGGCGCTTGCCTCTTGCCCTCATGCGCGTCGGGGTGCTGAGTACAGAGTGGCTCATGACGAAGAACCTGCTACATGGATCCCCTCCGTCGTGTAGCCTTAGTCAGAAAACCTTGCATTCACTTCCCGTGCAATGCGACTGCCAGAACTGGCACAATCAGTGACGCTCGCAAGTACAGTTGCTATCAACACTTGGTCCTTCGGCAATGTGTTGCGCCCTCAGAACCAGGCCGCGTCCCTTCGTAACCCACTTCAGCTCGTACGTAGGAGGCACAGGACTCCCGGCTGCGCATGAGCAATTGCTATCAAGGGGATGCTCTTCTCGGCGATTGCCATTACTCGGCTACACGTGCGAGAGTTCGCATGCTTCGGTACGCCACACTTGCGATCGCCAGTTGTGTTTCCCCTTCTTGCCCACACTCCCAATTTCCACTTCAAGACTTTGTGCTGCAATGCTGCTAGCAAACGAGACTCATCCGGGAGTCAATCTTGCTCGCTTTGTCACTGTGGTAGAGCTTCTTGAGTCCTTCCGCGACGCTATTGCCGGTGCGTTCATCTGTGGCACTTGGATATCTTGCACTTATCTCTGAATAGAACATCTCGAGGAGTACGATCAAGGTGCAGTATCTTCGCAACTCACGTATCAGGATCTGGATGGTTCTGATACACACGTAAAGGCATCGATAGACTTCAGACGGCCACTCTGGAGCCAGGTTCTGATCTATGCGGCATGGACTGTCATGAGGACCATCGCCCACGCAAGCGGATATTCTGCGATGTGTGTCATCTCCACAACTGGATCCCGCATCTATCTAACGCCCTTTGTCTGTCAGATCCCTCCAAGGTTCATGTCGTGTGAGCTACTCGTAGGAGAGCGCTGCGAGCTCGTGGAGCCGCCATCGAAGGAGGAAAGGGAAGAAGAAAAACGACGTCTCTACGAACAAGATGTGGACGAAGAGATTGCAAGGGGAATCGCAGAATATGAGTTGCTCGAATCAAGAAAGGTGAAGGAGGAGACACCGCCGGTGATCGTGCCAGACTTGTCACACGACATGGAGTCCTTCTTCTGGATCCTCGCATGGCTCGTGAGCTCATAATAACTCCTCATTGTAACATAAGCTCTGAAACACGTATCTTTCAGTGCATCCACAGAGCTGGCCCTTCGCGCGCGCGGACCTTTGAACTGGGAAGTCCCGATTTTTCCTCCTACGAAGCTCTCAAGAAAGCCGACTCCTGGTCGTACTATCTATACGACGTCTCTGAGGAACACTTGGAATCTGCCGGCCGTTGGAAGCAATGCGTGCTAGACAACTTTTTGCGGTTCGAGGACATGGTCTCTTGCGTTCATCCCTATTTCCGTGGCATCATTACTGTCCTCAGACAGTTCCATCGTGACCTTCACGTTCTGATGTGGGCCGGGAACCGCACGCACGAGAACGCTGTGATCGTAGGGAATCGTATCGTGGAATATATTGGGAAGGTTCTCCTGCTACGTCGAACTCAAACGTGGGATGAAGAGCCGGGGCGCGGCGGCGACGCGATATATAACGAAGCTCGTCAGCGAGAGATGGAGCGGCGTAGGGAGGAAGGATGGTTTGGGAAAGGCGCAGATCAAGGCGGCAGTGGAGGTGGTACAAAGACGGTTCAATGATCGCCGAGGTTGCAAAGTCCGAACGAGCAGAAAACGGCATGGCGTATATACTTCCTGAAATCCTTTGATACGGCAGAGGATGTCATACCTGTTTGTCCACGCGATCCTCCGCGCATGGGTGTAGTGACTCTCGAAAGCACGAACAAGAGACGATTAACCCACGCAAGGGACGATTCGCGTGTAACCGTGAGAAAGCAAGTATTCTTGAAGATGAATAGAGCAGACGATAGACGGCGTCGAGATCAATACAGGCAGGCGACAAGTACATGGCATCGCGTCTATTGTATCTCCTCACCCTTCTCATCCTCTGCCAACGTCATCTCGTCGAACTCATCCAACAACTCATCGATCCCAACCTGCGGGAAATCCGGCTCATCCTCCTCCTCCTCCCCATCCTCGCCACCCTCCTCTGCGCTCTGCTGCTGCGGTTGCGCTGGCTCAGGTGCCTCGTCAACATCCATAGCAAACTGTGCCCTCTTCCCCTTCTTCGGCCCCCTAACCTCCCTCATAGCCGCGTCCCCGCCCTCCCTATCGCCCGCCTTATACAGATTAACAGCAGCCCTCATCTCCGGATCCTCCTCCAGCTCCCTCAAAAACAGCTCATAGTCCTCCTCAACCTTCTTCTGATCCCGCCCCCCACTCCGCCCAATCATCCCCCGCGCACTGCTCGTCGCCGCGCCCTCCTCGTCCGCCCCGCGCGCGATCGAGCGCAGCTTCCACGTCCGCGAGCGGCTCTTCTTGCGCGCGTTCGGGTACGCCTTTTTGACGAGCACGACGTCGGGCACGCGGTGCGGTGGGATGTCGGAGTACAAGGGCGAGTTGAAGTTCGCGTTCGTGAGGTAGTAGCCCATCGCAGAGTCGCCCGGCTGGAGGATCGCGCCGAGGTGCGTGCGCGTGTGGAAGATCAGGCTGCCCGCGCCGTCCTCGTCCATCGCGTCGCCCGCGCCGCTCCGGAACGCGCCCGAGAGAGCAACTTGCGCGTCGGCCTCGACGAAGCGCCCGCGCGCGCCGCCGGAGGGCTCGACGTCCAGCACGGTGAACTCGACGAGATCGGGCGCGCTCGCGAGCGAGTCGAACGGCGCGCGCCAGAAGGACGCCGCGGAGAGCTCGGCGCTTTGCAGCGTGGCGGGGTCGAGCACGTGGATGCTGTTCCCGATGCGGCTCGCGACGACGAGCGGGGAGATGTTGCCGAGCTGCCGCGCGAGCTTGAGCGGCAGCGCGACGAGGTCGTCCTTGCAGATCGGCGCGATCTCGACCGAATACGTGTACTTGAAGTTCGCCGTGCCCGAGTGCGTATCCGAGCTGAGCAGCTGCTCGCTCGTCTTGCTCCGCACGGGCACGACGCCCGCGAGGAACTCGACCATCTTCTGCGCGTGCGAGCGGTTCGCGTAGTAGAAGTCCAGCCCGTCGCGGACCTCTTTGACGGAGATGGTGTCCTTCTGCGCGCCGTGCTTGAGGATGAGCTGTTCGAGGTAGAGGAAGGTGCGCTTGTGCGGGACTTTTTGGCGCACTTGGACGAGCGCCTTCCAGGTGTTTTTCGCGGCGAGGCGGGCGCAGTCTGGGCATTGGCCGTGCTGGACGAGGTACTCGATCTCGAAGACTTGTTCCAGGATCGTGTTCGTGAGCACCTACAGCCGTATTAGCATCCAATTATCCAATGAATATTTGAGGATGATGCGCACCTCCTTCTGAATCGTCAACGACACCCTCAACCTCTTCGAATGCGGCTCCGTCCAGATAAAATGCGCATCCGTGAGCCGAACCTTCGGCAGGCCCTTGAGCTTCTTCAAGCATATCGCGAGCAGCTCCTGGCTCTCGGGCCTCGCGGGCGTCCACGCGGACGGCGGCGCGAGGAAGCGCTCGCAGTTGCGGCAGAAACTGACGCTCGCTGCGATTGATCCGCGTCAGCGTGCTGCGTGATCAGACAATCGAGAGTTGAAGGTAAGAGTCGCACCTTGTTTTGGGATGCCTTCGGTGATGTCGACGCTGCGCAGTAGGGTTAGGCGAGGGTATGGTACGATGTGGGGAGTGGGACGAACGTATTGCGCAGGCAGTTCACGCAGAGGTTGGCGGAATTCGGCACGATGGGTACACCTATAAGCTTACACATCAGCTTGGCTTCTATCGTCCATATGGCACGATACACGCACCGCAGTCGGCGCAGAGCACTCTGTGGACAGCAGGCGCAGGTACAAACTCCATATCGGCTGCTTTTCGAGGATCTCCTCTTGATTTGGGTCGTTTGGCGGTATAAGGCTACAGAAGCGGAGCGCAGTCTAAGGTGTACAGATGCAGTTCCAGTCAAGTATGAATACAGGTCTCAGAAGGCCGAGATGGTGGAGGCTTAAGGGCAGGATGCACCGGCTCACTCAGCAGATAGCCGCTTCGCCATCTGCAGAAATCAAAAAGTTCGCGGGACCGGAAGAGTCAGGCCCCTATCTTCCGGTTCATACTGACACACTGACGCCCCCAAGCACCTCCAGTCGGGCGCAGCTTTCTTGCCTCTTCGCCCACAGATTTGGTCACCAGCACAATCTACATACGAATGCATGCCGTAGCCATGCTCTCTCGCGCGGTTTGTTACTCTAGATATCGGGTATATATACGCGTCAATACTGCTGCCAACACAATGCACCTCGGTGAATGTCTGAATCACTCGGGCATGCTTCACCCTGAGCTCCACGCCTGGGGATATCATTACGCGGTGTGAGTCTACTCTTCCATTACTGATAATAGCGCCTCGGCAAACTCTTCTTTATACACGCATGATGTCAGACCACCGTGACCGAAAGAGAAGAGGGAAGCGCACCATATTGGTTCTCACGCACCATAATCGTAGCTATAGCTAGAACATCTAGCAAATCCACGAACGGCTCCATAGCCAGTTCCAGTACAGGCGACCCCGTCTGCACGCCCGGACGTGCAAGACATTCGCTCATGTGAATTAGTAGTTTGGTTACAAGCCTACTACGGCGGCAATACCATTGCGAAGCGACGACCTGCTACATTCGGTACGCTGAGATAAGCCTCAGCAAATCAACGCATACGTGGTAATGACAAACCGTTAAGAAACCCCCGATGGCCATGAGCACGTCTTTGCCGTTGCCAATCTCCTATACGCAGAGTAAATATCCCGTCCGAGTCGTCTTGTACCTTAATACGCACCTTTTCTAGTACAATCCGCACAAGTTGAATTATCGGAAAGCCGATTTCGCGCCTTATGACGGAAGGCATCCATTCGTTAGGTCGAAACGGGAAGTCAACTAGTGTTTGCAACGTATCGATCAGAGCGTCGGCGGTGCCTTGAAACTCGGTGCAGTCGCCCAGCCCTTGATATAGAGTGCAATTCTCGTCGTTAAGAACGAAGCGCGTGGTCCTCATGAACTTAGACACCGCCTCCGCCCATATACCCGTCGACTCCGGAGTATTATCTTCCACGTCCATAAAGCAGCTTCGTCAATGGCGAAGAGGCGGTGACTGGGGGAGACAAGCACGGAGCTCGAGCGACGGCGACGGCGACGGTGATGGGGGGAGCAAAAGCAGACGAGTCATTCAGAAATGGATTCTAACGCCTATACTTATACTATAGATACGAAAAGATGGACGACGTTGAGGCAGCTAATAGCCATATACGCGAGCTGTCTGATCGCCGGTGCCTAGCACGTTGCATAGTCGGTCGACATCCGGAACAAAGGCAGAGTATAGGAGCTACCTTCGGCCCGAGGGGTGTTGACTAGATTGAATGATTCTGTCACGGACCGTGGACGTCGAGGTCAAAAGCAACCGTCTCGGGCGGCACAATGGACGTTCCGAGCCCGTTCCGAGCCCGCGTGGCGCACTGTATGATCTCGCGTGGCCCATCGTACCCACAAACCACACGCGCCCACACTGACATCCACACACACTCTACGTGGATGACGCATCGTCCGCTCGGCACCGACACAGCCCCCCTTGCCAATCCGCATCTGACTCTTCCGCCACGCCATTTACCCCATTTACACTATTAACCACAGATTGCCACGCAAATCGTCCGTAAATGAAAGATAGTGCTTCAATCGTGTGGGTTTTCAAAGAGATAACGACGTCGACGAGCGCCAAAGCGCACGTCAATCTTCAAAGCACGCGGTCCGCGCTGGGAACGTATTGGTCGGCGAAAAGGCCTCAGCGTTATGATTGGTTGTGCGGTATTCGGGTACGTATGAAGAGGTAGGGGGGATATTCGGATATGAGGCAGGAGGGGAGGGGGGTGTATACGGCAACATGAAGAGAGGAGGGGGGAGGGGAAGTACTG